GGATGATTTCCCCCCATGAAGAAGTATTGTGTTTGTTTCTGTGTAAGTTGTCTCCTTGGCTATTGTTCCGTGTCGCAGTGCAGATCTTAGCCTAGCGTCAAGTGAGCCTACTATTGATCACATTGAAAAATAAGTTCTTTCTATAAGTCCTCTAGTTGTGGCGTTCTTTCAATGTGAGATGAGGAAGACATGCCGATCCTCAACAGAAGTAACTCCAACATAAGTGGAATTTTGCGTTTGAATAGCGTCAGAACTCTCCACACTCGCTGGATTTATGAAGGCTACTGTTGGCATCGAATTCGAGTTTACTCGTGGAACAACACAAAACACACACAAAAGAGTTCATCCAACATCCAGTTCATGTCAACTGAGGTACATCACATGATAATACTTAGGGCGCGTGCTTCGTGAAGTACAAGGCAAAGATGTCGTGGACTTTAAAATCACTCTCTGAGATCACCAAACGATATAGATCGAAAGAGAACCGTTCTAGAGTTACCAATCATCGTGAAGTTCAAACGTTGAAAGATTTTCCTAGACTTCGAGTTGTCCTTCGCGACAAGAGCCCATACTGCTTCCAGACCAGGCTGCACTTGTCTCACCTGAAGAGACTCTTCTCGCAACACCAACCTGAGCGGACAACTTACATCTTCAATTCCTTTCGAGACCAATGTAGTGCCTATACGTTTCCCTTCCCAACCTTCAGAGACACCAACCCAGACGATATAGGCGATTAAGTGTTCATCGCCTTTCTGGTGCCCAGGTCTGGATAAGACCGTAAATACGCCAAGTCAGTTGGGGAATCTCACATGCGAGCCCTGACAAACTCCTCATCTTCATCAGGAGAAAGCGGAGGAAGTTAAGTGAACATCTCGGCGACAACAGCCTGACAAGCACAGTGCTTTGGTCGCGGTGGAAACGATACTTTTCCTTGTGACGCCTTCTCCTGCGCAACGCTGCTGTCCACCGCATCGAAGCAGTGATCGTGGGGGCCCGCAGGCCCTTCGAGCCTTGCTTCTGCAACGACTGTTGCCCTCCTATAAATGATATTGGCTGGCGCCTCCTCAGGGCTTCTGTATCTTCCAGTTTCAGAAGCCTTCAAGATGCCCAAAGGTTTAGAAAGAATACGACGTGAGTCGATCGCCCACGGTAGAGTAATAACGAGTATTGACAAGAATAAGGATGACATTAAATAAATGCACACAACGTGAGAGCAACTGCAAATGCATCAGCCTCTCGAGGTCCTGCATGCGGGCGGCCGCTACTAGCGTTGGAGTATAAACACTGATGAAATAGATTGAAAAATCATTCCATCCTGGTTCATGGTTCTCTACAGAGTCAACACTCCTTAGCTCTTTATTGAAGCCCTCTGGAGAAAAAGAGAGAGTACAGTATCCGCCCGATTAACCCCCACCAGAGACCCATATATCTTTGAGAAATAAAGTTCCCCAGGGTTCGATAAAAATGCTAGAAATGCTCCTAATGCGATGATGACATGTACATGGGAAACTGATTGAAGAATGTGTTCCTAGCCATTCGTGGAAAAATCAAAATGAGTTCCCCCGGGAGCATTATAGGTTTCTCGATAATTCACTGACCTCACCGACGACTGTGCTTCCCTCCTCAGAAATTCCCTAAGTCTATCCTCTTCCTCGTCACATTCATCCTCCGAGACTTCCACAAGAATCACTCGCGGATCCTCGTTATCTCCTTTCACCGATGGACCTGCCATAGAGAAAACCACCACTCTTCAGACAAAAGCCATTCACCCTTCTTAGTGGCCTCCACCACGCTGGACCTGAAAACTGCTCTACGTGCAAAGCGATGCGGTCAGTCACCGTTACTTCTCAACCTTCTGGTCAGCCACCTCTTGTGTGATCGTGGCATTTTCCAAACTGTTCACCATCCTCACAGGAACAGCGAACTTAGCCCAGCTATCAATAGGAGGTGGCACCGGCATGCAGCTCCACGTGTCACCATCATCAGGAAGGGTATCACCTAGTGTTCAAATCCCGCAGCAACCTCAGAAGTCAACTGCCCACTTCCGAGCTCCTTCCTCATCATCCCATCCCCCGGATCGACCGGCATGAATGTCAGATCCACATCAGCCAGCAGGGCCTGGAGGGCAGCGGCGGCTACCATGCATACTCCTACGCTTGGCCTACTTCTGCAACCCTCTTCGCGGCGTATTTAACAGCAAGACGATCCCGATGGTGACGGTAGAGTATGTGGCCACCGGCCTCGATGATCAGCTCGACTATCTGCAGTCAGGATCGTACGTGAACACACTGGAGGCAGTGTTGCAGTAGATGGTCGCTCCGCTCGGCTGAGTTCAGGATTTTTCACGCTGATTATAGAAATGACTCAGTTAGAAGTGTAAGGAAGCCATCAGCAATTTTCCCACATTTCCTCGCAATTTCCTCACCAGAACATGCCCTATTCCCCACACCGACAAATGATCCCTGGCACTATGCTAGGGTATCAACTTCTGCGTAAATCACACCTCCGCCGCGGCTTCCTCAGCCTGTTGTGCTTTCAAGGCCGCCGCCTCCTTCTCTTCCTCCGTTAGTTCAATCTGTGCTGTCGGGTCGGTGGTCATAGAAATTATATAATAGGCTCACAATCGGGGAAGTGGGAAGAGACGATGAGCACTCCACCACCACTACCACTCGTACAGTTCCACTGTAAGAGTGCTCTCCCTTCTCGGCTTTTTGAGCACAGCTAACATCAAGTGCTACGGAGTGATCTTCACCATATCTTATATCAGATTCGTGTACTTGCCTTCTACACGCACTTTCTGTTTTACGAGTCAAATTCAAATTACCAACAACGATTCAGTCCAAAAAAGTGGCAGCCATAGCCGCACTTATGTCGACGACGATCGTGTCCGACTACACTGGGTTCAACTCTTTAGCTCGATCATGAAGTGCCGGTCCAACGGTGTGAGTGATTTTCGAGATGTGCGCCAAATGACCGTCTCGTTTCCCCCGTCCTCTTATCCGAATTTACTCAATTCGACAGAGCCTGTATAACGCCAAAATGATATCCCCATTGATCACAACATTTGATCACTAGGAGGTTTCAATTCAACCGGCTGAAGACATGGAAATAATTACGGAACACGTAGTTTGCGTGAAGTTATAGACCCTCTAATTCTGCCCGACCGCGAGGTACTACCACTACAGCGCTTCAACTCGACATTCAACCCATTCATTCATTCCTCATTTTTCAGAGTACTCATTTCGTTTACACTCAGGTCCAGATGATACCACTATTTCAACGATCTGGTGCATT